CGATAGCCCATTTGGCTATGCGGCCAGTGGCGTCCCTGTTGTTGATAATGTCGTTAAGTGGTACTTCATATGCCATTGTGATCGAACACTCTTGAAAATAGTGTCGTACTTTTCGGGATGCCATGAAGACCGTATAAGCTACCTTTTGATAGTGGGGGTATCGGGATTTGCATGGTGTGAGGACCTCCGATACCAATACTGGTTTTTGGGTGGGGAATTTCTGTCCCTCTCCCCCTGGCTCGACAACGAGTGCAGCACTAACTACCTCGTTCATTGCAGAGATACAAAGCAACATAGGCTCGCCAACACCTGGGGCAGCTAGGATTAGGTTGCATGCGAGTAGGGCCTTGATTTTTTCCAATCCGGCTATGGCAGCATCCGTCCATTCAAAGCTATTAGTGCGTCTTAGTAGCTTGTAAAGTGGTAATGCTTTTCCTCCTAATCTGGAGATGAAGCGGCTTAAGGCCGTGATGCACCCGGGTAGTTTTTGGACTTGCTTTTGGTCCATTGGTATAGCCAATTGTGACATGGCTAAGATCTTAGCCGGGTTTGCTTCAATTCCTCTATGGGAAACAATGAACCCTAGCAGTTTTCCGTCTGGAACTCCGAAGACATATTTTTCCAGATTGAGCCGTATGTCGCATGTCCGGAGGTTGTCGAAGGTGAGGCGCAGATTGTCCATCAGTGTTTCGACGTGTGTGGTTTTGATGACCATGTCGTCCACATATGCTTCGACTGTTTTGCTGATTTGTTTTTTCAAGAATGTTTGAATCATATGTTGGTAAGTGGCCCCAGCATTTTTGAGCCCAAAGGGCATAGTGTTGAAACAGGAAGGGCCATACGGGGTGATGAACGCCGTTGCGGCCTGATCAGATTCCTTCATTTTAATCCGATGGTATCCGGAATAGGCGTCGAGGAAACACAATGAGTCGTGTCCTGCGGTCGCATCAATGATCTAATCAATGCGGGGCAATGGGAAAGGATCTTTAGGGCAGGCCTTATTTAGGTCTTTGAAATCGACGCAAAGGCGTCAGGATTTGTCCTTCTTTGGCACCATGACCAAGTTGGCTAACCAATCCGGATGTTTGATTTCCCTAATAAGCCCGGCTTCTAGCAGTTTGGCTAGCTCTTCTCTCATGGCTTGACGCTTGGGTTCAGAAAATCGCCGCAGTGTCTGCTTAACGGGTTTAAGCTCCTAAATTATTGAGGTTGTGTTCGTCCAGCCTGCGTGGGATGTCGGGCATGTCTGACGGGTGCCAGGCAAAAATATCCCAATTTTCGTGTAGGAATGTGCGTAAAGCGGTGTCCACCGCCGGATCCAGCTGTGCTCCGATGGACGCTGTTTTGTTGGGGTCCGTCGGGTGCACTTGAAATTTAACTATTTCATCTGCTGGCTTGAAAGAGGTGGATTTAGGTCTCTTGTCGAGGATCACATCGTCCTTGTCCACCGTGGACCATAGGGTGGTTAGTTCTTCGGCCGCTAGGGCTTCGGATAACGCCTCGAGGGCCAAGGATGCAGTTTTGTTTTCGGCACAGAGTGCATTGTCCGGGCTCTCGAGATTGTGATGATTCTGTTGGCTCCATGCATTTTAAGCTTGATATACCCATAAATGGGGTATAACCTGGAAGCGTGACAAAGCATCCCGTCCGAGGATGGCGTGATACCCGCTGTTGAAGGGGACCACATGAAAGAGCAACTCTTCGGAGCTATAATTTTCGGGCGTGCCGAATACCACATCCAATTTAATTCTCCGAGAGCATCGTGCTTCTCGACTGGGGATGATGCACTAGTAGAAAAATGGCTTTTAGTCCCAGTTCATAAGGGCCGGTAACACCAACCGGTACTAAAGGAAATTTTATAATTTTTTTATTTTTTTGGATTTTTTTATTTTCAAATTTCTGAATTATTTTAACCTCTCATCTCTAACCACCCCTCATCACTACTCAATTTAACCTCTAATCACCCCTCATCACTACTCAATTTAACCTCTAATCACCCCTCATCATCTAACTTCCCGGACGGTTACCCATCCTCTCACTACTCCAGCCTGAGCACGCTTAACTTCCGGGTTCTATTCTCCCTCGTTTTCAAGTCTGCACTTGTTGTTTTCCTAACAATAGTAAGATGTCAATCCTATTAATCTCAGGAATTTAGCTTGAGCATGAAGTCACACATTTCACTGTTTGAGTTTGAAACTATTGTTCTAAAAAATAACACTAATATTTAGTAACACTAATATTTCTTGAATAATTAGTTTGACCATTGTTTGACCATAGTTTGACCATAGTTTGACCAAAATTCAAAAAAACTGAAATAATTATTTAGTAACACTAATATTCTTGAATAATTATTTAGTAACACCAATACTTCTTGAATAAGTAGTTTGACCATAGTTTGACCAGATTTAACAAAAATTCAAAAAAAAATGAAATTTGAGCATAACTTTTTTTCCTTTTTCATATTACGTATCATATTTTGAAAAACAATTCCCGAAAAGAAATCGAAATTAATTAATTTTTTTCTGTTACTAGTAAGTTTAACATTTTTTGAATTTTTTTGCCTCCAGATCTTAAAAGCCCCGTAACTTTTTTTCTGTTAGGTTTTTGAGGATTTTGAAAATGTTTAACGGGGTTCATGGTCCTTTGTGTTTGCATTTCAGTGTGCTTGTAAGGGTCAACTACTTTGTACTGATTCGTGGAAAATTCTCTCAAAAGAATATATTTTAGATCCGTTGCAACTACTCTGTTTTTACGACCCATCTCTTCCCTCCGCCCCGGACGAGCACCATCGGGGTGGCCGCCTGCGCCGCCACCATTGCATCGGGGCCTGTGCTCCCGCGGACCGTCCCAACCTGCCGACGAGGGCGGGGGAAGGAGCGGGGGCGGGCCGGCGGCGGGGAAAGGATCCCAGCGCGCACTCTGCGAGGCCGAGGATTTGCTGGGTTGCAGGTCTCCAAGAGGAATGCGCCCCTGGTTCATTAGCTCTGCTGTTTGGTACATGCGTCAACGCTTCAGTTTATGTTTATCACCAATTTTGGGTATTTCGCTCTTCGTTTTCAGCGACCTCAACTGCAACCGGTTTATTACCTCCAATTAGTAAATGTAGATAGCTTGTTTTGCTTGCAATTGCAGGTGAGGAACACATTCTGCCGGTATTCAGTAGTGAACCGCACTCCATCTCTGGAAGCAAAAATGTGCTTCTGAAGGAAGACAGTAATGCATCTGAATCTTGACTTCTACACCTCATGGAACTACATTGCGTTTAGGTGGGAAGTTCTCTCAAAGTGCGAACCCAACAACAACTGATTTACCCCCCAGTTAGTAATGTAATATACTCCCTCCGTCCGGAAATACTTGTCGAAGAAATGTCTAAAAATGAATGTATCTAAAACTAAAATACATCTAGATACATCCATTCCTCCGACGAGTATTTCCGGACGGAGGGAGTAGATGGTTTGGTTTGGTATATGCAGCCGGAGGGTGAAGAAAAACGTAGAAAAAAAAGCAGTGGAACAATAAATATGAACACACAGTTTGCAAATGTATAAAGTTATTTCTTTTCAACCAAGCTGAAAAACGAAAATAAAATTCAAAGCAACGCCTCGCGCTTACTTTCAATCCAAACTCTAAGCCCTTCCAAAATGAGAGCACCCCACAAATAAATCAAACTGTGCTGATTGCTGAATGAAACAACAAAAACAAATAATCCTCAAATGTTTTCCCTTCTCGACCATCTGTCACCCTGCCCATCTTTCTCCTGATCAGTGGTCGGTTGGCAGATGTTCTTGTACAACTGGCTCGGCCTGCGGCAGCTCAACCCTTTCATAGAAAAGCATGTAGGCCTGACACTTCAGTACCTGTTCCAGCGACACCTGTGTGATGCTCTCGTCGTTTGCGCAAAACCAAGAGGGGGTGCTGCTGCTCTCCTGCTGCTGGCCTCCAATTTGGCTTGCTCTCACATAAGCAAAATTGTGTCCTTCACGCAACTTTGGCCCACGGTGTACAATGACAGCGACCAGGCGATATTTGTACTCAACGTCCTCCGCCTGCCTGAAAATCAGAGGAAAATATTTTAGTTGTTTGCTTGAGTAGGAACCTTCACGATGTTAAACAAATAATTTAGTTGTCAATTTTGCTATATTAAACTGAGTAAAAGTGCCAAGTGTCAATACCTAGGGTCCATGAACTTTGTTAGATCAAGTGTATCCTGAAAGCTCACATGTTCTTCCAACTTGTGTGCCTTATCAGTGTGGGAATAGTCGAATCTCTTCAGCTGGATGGTTAGTATGGGTGCCGCCTTGGTAATGAGATAGTGTACTCTTGCAGCTTTGTATATCTTCTCTTCCTCTTTCTGTTTTTTATGGCTCTCTTCCATTTGACTTGAGTTCCCATCAAGCATCGGTGGCTTTCCGCTGTTCTGATTCGGTATTCTTGTTTGTTTGTCAGCTTGATGGCTGGATTCCCCCTTTCCGTATGTTTTGTTCTCTGACTGTTCAGGTTGTCCATGATAATAGTCTGATGTATCTTCTTGGTTCAAAGATGAATTTCCAGAAGAAGCAGCAGCAGCTGAACAGTCCATACAGTGCCAATCCTCGATCTCCCCAGTGGCATAGAAGTCCAAGCACTCCTCGATTGATGCAGGCCGGTTTGGTGGTATTGCCAAACTGAGATCAAGGTACTCGCAGCCGGTGGTAACCGATGTGTGCTCACACTTTTTGCTGTGAACATGTTTAACGACCTCACTGCGGAAGAGTGACTCAACCATTGTACGTTCCTCATTCTTCAAACCGTCTATCAAGGAACCAAGCATATTATTGCTATCTTCCATCATGCCAGTTCTGAAATCTGAATTCCTTTTGCACATATATGAGAAGAGCTTCTCTGGCGTCAGCACACTTCCAGTGTCATTGGTATTGGCTGTTATTATGAAGAGCTTCTGCAGTTCCTGACCAAGGTCCCCTGTCAGAGCATCCGATCCTAACATCCTTGCACGCAGCTTATCAAGTGCAAGGAGACTCTGCAACACTGCATTGAAGTAACATGTGTTCCCTCCATTCCGCATCCCTCTAACCGCCGCATTGCCACTTTGCCCATTCGGATGACCAGCCGTATCTGCACTTAGCGTTTCAACTTGTTGGATCTCTGGTCTCTGTATGTCAGCTTCCTCTCTTTCTTCCTTCGGTCCTGCTACACAGCTCTGCTGGGAATGCTGAACGCTATTATTTCGAACACTGTTGTCCTCAGGTGGTGTTCCAGGGGCATCATTTCCACACACGCCTTCCACTGGCCATAGTTTGCTCTTCTCGATTCCACAATGCCATAGCAGTGCCCAGATATAGGTTATGAATTCCCCTCCTGACTCGAGGCACTCCTTGTGCGCCTCTGCGTTCCAAGTAGGGGCAAGGTGCACTAGTAAATCTGCCCATACCCCAGACAGGATCTCCCAGCATTCTTCTTGAGTCTCTTGATCAATCAGTTCCTTGCCCAGCTTTGCGCCCAGTCGCACAACATCTTCACTCTTCATGACGCTGTCGGCATCTTGAATGGCCTTCACTGCTTCTTCCATCAGTTTGTCATACCTGCTCTGCAATGAGTCGCAGTTTTTAAGAATATGATCACGAGCGTGCGCCACGGTTTCTTGTAAGACCATCTTGGGTACATAAAAGCTGTCAGGGATCAGGTCGGGCTTTGAAACTAGCAGATATGCACAATATCGAGACAAGCTATTCGCAGTGATGTACATTTCCTGGAGCTTGTGAGGCAACTTCTCATTCACTTTCTTCTTTTCTTTCGTCTTCTCATCCACATCCAAAAGATATGGTTTCAATGTGCAGCAACTTGCGAAGTATGACAAGACGGAGTTCAGCAACCCATGTTTGCTTAAGTCGACATTATGGTCTTGAGCAAGCTTCATCTCACAGAGGCTGGTTGCAATGTGCCACACCAGAATTACATGTGAGCACGTAGGTAGATCGTAGCAGGCCCAACCGTACCGCTTCATTCGCTCACTGTCAGCATCGGACAGTGATGTGATGGCCTTGGGAAGAAAGTGACCTTGCTCCTCATGAATTCTCTTACGATTGTCTGGCTGAACATGTGCACTGTCAGGAGATCTGAGCTTCTCTAGGTTTGCACAGAGCTTCTTCAGTATTGCGGGCCTGACACATTTTGGCACTTTGATGGCCCAGGCAAGCATTGCTCCATCATCTTTCTTTGGAACCATTCCCATGGTTATCATGTGAAGCAGATTCCAGAATCTTGGTCTGTTATCATACGACTCCAAGAAAACGTACTGGTCAATAAGTCCAGACCACGGAGTAGTGGCTACCCTATTTTGGGAGAGGGATGATATTGCGCCCTCCATACATCTGTTTCTAGTGCGCTCTTCCTTCCACTGTGCATAGTTGCACACGAGGAGTAACGTTGTCCAGTCTGAGATTAAGTAGCTGGCCAACTCCCAAGTCTCTTTGAACACCATAAGAACCCATACTAGCCATGTGATGATAATGTCAAGATTGAACCTATGCTCCATATTAGCCTGATTATTATTTATATAAATCTCACGGGCGTCCGCAGCAAGCCAATAGATAGCACCGACGGCCACCGCAGAGAGAAGCAGATTTGAGAAGAGAGAACACAATCCATTCCAGAAGATCATATGGTAGCGTGTGTTGAAGTAGTGGGCTACGAAGGATAGTTGCATGTCCATGACCCTGAAGGTGTGGCCAGTGTTCTGCTCCTCAAGGATCTTAGTCTTAACTAGCTTTCGGTTGATGCAGAAGATTTCTTGTTGCAGTGTCATATCCTCGAGCCTACACAGGAGCAGTCTGGACAATGCGAAGGCCAGCGAGAGATCCTTTGGGCCATTCCCCACATTTTTGTCTGGGTGTAACATGTGCCTGCAGCATCCCCAGATCTTGTCTAGGGTGACCAGCGATGAAAAACCGTACTCAGCTTCTGCTTGCTTGTCAGACTCTGAAATGTTGATACAAGAGACATACCGAGGCTTCTTGAGTTTGATTCTCCGATGGGTTTCTCCATGGACCAAGTATTTGTATCCTTCCATATTATTATCTGGCTTGCACTCATCTGGTTTCCAGTTGTTAGTATGAGGGCCGGCACGCATGTACTCTGTAACCACCTCTGAACTCTTGCCATGCCAGACAGAACGGAGTGCCAGACCATGCGCATAGAATCTGTACCCACTCCGCAGTATCAGCAGAGCCAAAAGCAACCAGATTGGAAGCACGAACCTTGAGCTGTGCCAGTTCAAGAATGCCGATCCCATAAATTTCACCACGTTCCTCCACTCCATGAACCGTCGTCCACGGCGGTCATGAACTCCATAGACAGACATGAAGTCGGCGTCACAACGGAAACTAACAAGCATGAGGGCCCAAACGGGGAACAGCTGATTTGTGTACTTGGTTGTTTGCATGGCCCCCAATAGGTATATGACAATAGAGTCAGTGACGGGATCCAAGATACTAAACATGGTTTTCATGATTGTGTTGCGGTAGAGGGGACTGAGCAAGTCTATGATGAACATCCAGAGGAACAAGACTGTGACCAGGACCACAAGAAACTCGATCTGAAACCGTACGAATGCCTCCTTTATTGTGATGAATACGCATGACATAGCATCGTCGACATTTTGGGCGCCCATCATTCTCCTAGCTTGCTTGTGCTCGTTCCTATTGGTCAAGCGGGGCCTGCAAGGCTAATTCATCAAATATATTCACAATCAAAGACTTTAAGAAAATGGACATTGAACAAATATGGAGTAGTTTCCCGCAAAAAAAGAAAGAAAAAGTGCATCAGTTTATTTACCCTCCTGGCTTTCCACACACAATTCAAGCCCAAACAAAGAGCTAACATGTTCCAGCTGCACTAGCCGTGCCAAACGGAGATCTTCACTGTAGTTTCTAAATGTTACTTTAATTTAGGAGTAGTTAGCATCTTGCCGATTTATTGAACTTGAGAAGTGGGGAAGTGGGGGGCAAGACGTCGGTGCTTCTGGCGAGGCAATCAAATCGACAATCTGGTTGCTATTATGTTGTAGTGCTACACTGCGTCTCAAGTTATAAACACTGGACCCTATAAAAAAGTTTAACACTGCCCCACAAAAGTGATGTCAAATGGTACTGCACATTAAATCTTAAAGGACTACTAAAAAGCTTAGTTTGGGCAAAAACAATTACTCACTCCGATCCAAATTAATTGTACTGAAGTTGTACTAAAGTTGTGTCAGTTAATTTGGATCGGAGGGAGTATGACAAACATAATTTGCGCAGAAGTTTCTAAATTGTAATTTGGAAACATCTGATTTGCACAGGAAAGAAAATGCAAGCTCTGCACGTGATATTGGGTCTCTGTAATTCTGGTATGCAGCCCGTCTATTTACATACCAAAATTCCAGTGTCGTACATAAATAGTATTAAAGCTTACAAAAACATATTATATTTTGATACGGAGGTGCTATTTTGATTGGTTTACATGAAGCAAGACGTAACCCTATAATAATACCGGAAAAATCATGCCCAATGGTTTGTTTCGCGATGCAAAAAGATAGAGAAAGACACTGGCGGAGCTAGACAAGATGTTTTGGAGGGGCTAAGCAGAATATAAGGATGTTTGGAGGGGCCAGAAAACTATATTATCTTAATCTAACCCCTCTCAAAAAAAAAATCCCTGTGTATTTTTATCAAGGTTGGGGGGGCCATGGCACCTGCAGGAAGCAACATAGCTCCGCCGCTGGAAAAATAGTTGAAAATAGAAGAGATCCGGTGCCGCTCGCACGTAAGGGAGACGAAGCATCTCAGATTTGACCGCTAGGTCGAGGCTCCACGCTGCCGGCCGGTATGGAGGGAGAATTCAGTTCAGGGAGCTCGGAGCCTCGGACTAACTTGCTGCGGCCCGTCACAGCCGCAGTGAACCGAGTCATGGAGATAGAGCTGAGGAAGAGAGAAGCAGTCCCAGGGACGAATGCGAGAGAAAAACGATGAGGTGGGTTCTCTTTCCTCTTTTGAAATCCGACGAGATTAGTAAATATCGTGCTCGTCTACAGTTTGTATTGCAATTTATATAATTGCTCAAGACTCCAAACGTGGGTGAAGTTCACTGCGGACTGACTATATGAACACAAAGGACTGTTTAATACTCCTACCACTTTTTTGCCAGATTCATTTGCGACAAAAGGATAAAAGCACGGTGTGCAGTTCATTCGTACCTGGAATCAGTAGCTAGCTAGCTGCTCCTGGGCGATGCCTGGACGTAGCACTCGTTTGTGTTCTTCTATTGTCTATCCGCGGGGGATGAACAGAGAGGCGCAGTCTCGTGCATAGTCGCTAAGCGCGTATAGATCCTGGCCGGTGGATGGTTTCTTAATTCAAAGTTGGACGAGCCTTTTCTCTAGAAAACGTGGGTACACCATGCTTGTATCTGGGCGCGCGCCTGACCTCCAAATTTTGATTAAATACTACCATTGTTCCATAGTAATTGTAGTTGGTTTAGTACAATTTTATACCGAAGTTATACTAATCCAGAGACAAGTAATATGTATCGGAGAGAGTAAATTACATTGTGCTAGTAATTACTCCCTCTGTAAACAAATATAAGGCTACTCACCTTCATAGTACATAGTATTATAGATAATCTTATTTATGACCATGCATGACACAAAGTAGTATATCATTTATTATGATATGGTATCTACCTATGTTACTTTAACCCCCTCTTTTCTTTAATTCTCTATTATGATATGGTATCTACCTATGTTACTCTAACCCCCTCTCTTCTTTAATTCTCTGCCACATCAGCGTGTTTGTTATTCCCTAATGCATGATACTGGCTAAGATACAACCACTATGGCCAGCCCAAGTCTGGTTGTAATGGGGAGTATCATATACTAGTATCATGCATATGATACTAGTGTATGATACTATATCCGTAATGCAAAGTATCATATATTGGTATCATAGAGTACTACATTTATTGCCATACATGACACAAAGTAGCACATCATTTAATATGATACGGTACCATGATATGATACTCAAGCATCTCTTTCTTCATTTAATTCTATGTCATCTCATCAAAATTGCTTAGTTGGCATGCATGATACTACTATTACGGGCAGCCTAAAATTGACAAGGCGTTACTCCCTCTGTAAGTAATTACTCCCTCGACAAAAAGTGATCTAAACGATCTTATATTATTTTATGAAAGGAGTACTAATTAGTAGGTATGAATCAAAGAGTTAGACAATTTAAATACTCCGCCCGCATCGTCTACTAGTCCTTATTACTAGTATGCTACGCCTGCCAGTTTCATTTTGCTTCTTCGCTAATACCCATACATAATTTTGTAGCTGCAGATCAGTACCCTATCCACGGAAATAATTAGAAGACCATTTACACTGACATGCCACACAATACATGGAAAAAAAGACTTCTACTACATGAAGCACTGTGACAAAATAAATTACATTTAAACAATGGCACAACAAAGACGTGCGTGTCCTTCTAGTACAAATTCAAATTCTAAAGGGCTTAGAAAATGATGAGCCTTAGAGCTGGCGACACCCCCATGCACCTCACTCATCTCTATCTCTCAAACACTTCTAGCTAGAAGCTTCGTGCTCTCTTTCTTCCCATCTCATCTTTTCACGACCAGGATGAATACAAAGCGGCGGCGACCGTTTCTGCATCCTTTTCCCGTTGCCCCATTTCCCTCCTTCCCTTCCTCTTCGCTGACCTTTCTCCGCCGACGACTCTGCGACTTTGTGTTGTCTAAGTTTAGTAAGCAAAAACAAGAAAAAGAATGACACGACGAAGACTCGCGCCAGCACATGGGAACCTACAACGTAACTCTCCAGGACAACACCCCCCCCCCCCTCTCATCACAGGCGCAATTCATCTTTCTCAATCCTCATCAATCTCCACTCCTAGCTACTCGTACCGATTAATTCTTCAATAATTCACTAAAATAAATCCCCTGTGATAAATAGCAGAATAGGTAACACTCTACTCTTAATTCCCTATCTATTTATTTGGTGTTTGCCGGCTTTGAAACATGTGTGCACCAGCATAGGTCGGAGACTGGATTGCTATTGGAGGCTGTAGAAGGGAATAGAGAGGGATTGGTACAATTGATGATTATTGCTTGAGCCTTGTGGGCATATATATAGGAGTACATGATATTCTTGGAGTACAAGACAAGATAGAATACTTCGTAGTGTATCCTATGTTTTCAATCTAATCACGATACTCAACATCCGCCCGCAGTCACGACGGTAGCGACACAGACGGTAAGATTAGAGAAGAATCCGAAGATAAGCCGACTGACACCCCCCAACCACCCTCCCCCAGTCATAACAGTCCATGCATCGTGGAAGTCGTGACTGGAGTGGAAACTGACGAGGATGCTCAAGCAAGGCGGTAGCCCTTTGTGCCAATGACGAGGTAGCCGAGAGCGTAGGGCTGTGTAGCCATGGTCGAGGTAGCCATGCGAGGGACGCTATGGTCGATGTCGAGTCGGGGTGGCTGGTGTTGAGGTAGTCGTCATGGACGGGAAGAGTACGGCGACGGCTGCCTGAGGAGGCGACAACGACAGCGGCTAGATTAGGAGCTCGGTGACGGTGCTCGAAGTAGGCGAGGAAGAACCCGACAGTGTGAGGAAGACCAGCGCAGACGGTGGCGCTCCCACGCATAGGAAGATAGTGCGGCGCATACCACACAGAAGTCGACGCGCGTGGGCAGCGAAGTGGACCACGTGTCGCGGTGCTACGACCCAAAAGAGCAATGCAGCAGCAGCGCGCGGGTCGGGGGTGACGCGGAAGTCCTTAGGGCGGCGGCAGGGACCGCGTGCCACGCTCGCTACGACCCGATGGGGCGATGCAGTAGCAGCGCGAGGGTCGGTGCAGCCACGAGGACGATCTGGAGCGGCAGATACCATGTAGAAGGGAATATAGAGGAATTGGTGGAATCGATGATTATTGCTTGATCATTATGGGCATATATATATGAGTATATGATTTTCTTGGAGTACAAGACAAATTAGAATGCTTCATAGTGTATCCTATATTTCCGATCTAATCACGATAGGCTATAATTTATTGATCATCAAAAGCTAATCCATCAGGAGGAGCAGCCCCGGAGCCACTCAGCCCATTGTTGAAGAGCTAATCTACTAATTTATATTATTGAATCCAAGAACAATATCACATTCCTGCCAAACAATGTATTATTTCTGAGTTTCTAGAACTTATTTATGATAATATCTCATTTATAAATTGTATTGCCCACATGGTATATGTATATATAATAAAATCTTGTTTTTCCTAGTTTCCATTTCCTATTGTGAAGGCCGAATTTATTTAGCACCAGGCCTCCATTTTCTCAGACACGACCCTTACAATAGTATGAGGTCATCTTTCTATAAGAGGTGCCACGTACAAATTTTGGTGATACCTGTGTTGGTTATACCTAATGATGATGTTTTTACATTGTTACCTTGTTGAAGGCAATATGCCCCGACAGGTTTTTCAAG